GAAAAAGGTTTTCAGATGAAAAAAGAAAGAACAAAGGTTTTGAGGGACTATGATCCATCTATCAATGCATGCCAAATACTGCCTACATTACTAACTCCCCACTATAAATACCCCGAAAGATGTTGGGGTTTCTCACAATTCAAGCCTTACCTTATTTTCTTCACCACCTTATCATTATTAATTATTATTCCTCCAGCATACACATTCATTATTTTACAAGTATTATTTTCTTAGAGCTGAGCTAAATCTACTCATACAGCTAGCAGAACTGCCATGGAAACCCAAATGATGATGGAAACCCACCTCCCAGCTGAACTATCGTTTCCCTCAAAAGAAAAATCCTTCTTGGGAGATCGCATGATCGATCGTGACTTCGTTCAGCCAATCGAAAACAGGCCAAAGCTATCCGAAACCGAAGCGGAAGGCATACCCTTAATAGACCTCTCCGCGGTCCTCCAAAACGGCGTTTGTGACGAGACTATTGTTTCGCAGATCGGCGACGCGTGTCGGGTCTGGGGCTTTTTCCAGGTGGTCAACCACGGCGCCTCCGAAGAGAAGCGCCGTGAGATGGAAAAAGTGGCACGGTCCTTTTTCGGGCAGAGCGTGGAGGAGAAGAGAGAGGTGCGGCGGGACGAGGAGAACGTGCATGGGTATCACGACGGCGAGCACACGGTCAACGTTAGGGACTGGAAGGAAGTGTTTGAGTTTGCTTTGGAGAGTCCTTATCTCTTGCCTCGTTCCCAAAACCTCGATGCTGCCCATGAAATCAGTGAGGTCTATAATCTATGGCCCAAACACCCCCCTCAAATGAGGTAATTAACCACATGGTCCCCCGTCCCCATACCCTATTAAAGACTCGGTTACTCATTGATGAAAGGAAATATTCAAAGAAATATTTGCACTAAATAGCACTAAAATTTAAGTCATTTCTCTAAATAGCACTTAAACTGTTTTATTCCCTAAATAGCACTTAATAATGTCCAGTGATGGTGAATAATTACTTGAATAATGACTAACGCATAATGACTAAAAGTGCTACATTGGGAAGAAAAACACATGTTGTGCTATTTAGGGAAAGTCATTATGTTTTAGTGTTATTTAAGTAAATTGCTCATATTCAAAATTGACATTATAGTAATAGGCATAACAAAATTATACTCTCTCTCCGTCCCAGAAAACCTTTCTCCTTTTTTTTTTCATTCGTCCCAAAAAACACTTCTCATTTCTATTAAAGAGTCACTTTTATCCCTTACTTTTTCATACCCTACCTATCACATCATATTTTTTTACTAATAATCTATCCATCAAATCATACTTTTACCCATCACATCAAAGGACATTTTTGGAAATTCAATACCAAAATACACTCCCCTTAAATCCCTCTCCAAAACCAAAACTCCCATGTTTTCCGGGACGGAGGGAGTAGTATTTTAATTAAATATCGTTGCTTTAAATTAAAAAAAATGTTGGACCCTTAAAAAATGGGTTTAGCTGGTAGGACACCTTGAACGGGCCCTATTATTATTATTATTATTATTATTATTATTATTATTATTATTATTATTATTATTATTATTATCATTGTTATTATTATTATTATTATTACTATTATTACTATTATTATTATATTATTATTATTATTGTTATTGTTATTGTTATTGTTGTTGTTGTTGTTATTATTATTATTATTATTATTATTATTATTATTATTATTATTATTATGATCATCATCATCATCATTATTCAAATAAAAAGAGAAGTGTTCTTTTAAGACATGAATACTGAAAATGGAAATGTTTTTTGGAAGGGAGTGAGTGTATATATTCTTTAATTAGTGATGAAGTTTTGGATCATCACCCCTTAGAAATAAGTGTTTTGGGTGGTCAATCAATTGGTTGAACTGTACAGGAAGATATCTGAAGAATACGGGAAAGAGATGGAGAAGCTTGGGTTCAAATTAATGGCACTCATTGCTCGGAGCCTGGGCTTGCCGGCTGATACGTTCGAGCCGTTTTACAAGACCCAGACTTCGACAGTGATGCTCACCCATTACCCGCAATGCCCCTTCCCCCACCTGGCTCTCGGCGTCGGTCCCCATTCCGACAGCGGCGCTCTGACCATCCTCTACCAAGACGACGTCGGCGGACTCGAGGTCAAGAGGAAATCCGACGGCGAGTGGGTCCGCGTCAAGCCCATCCCCAACGCCTACATCATCAATCTCGGAGCCGTCATTCAAGTAATGGCTACTTTCTTTCTCTCTCATTTGACTTTTTACGGTTTTATAATTAAGATTGACATTTTATGTTGTTGTTGTTGTTAGGTTTGGGCGAATGATGTATATGAGAGCGTGGAGCACAGGGTGGTGGTGAACTCCACGAGGGAGAGGTTCTCTATTCCCTTCTTCTTCAACCCGGCGCATGACACCATGGTGAAGCCATTGGATGGGCTCATAGATGACCGAAACCCGGCCAGGTACACGCCGTACAACTGGGGAATGTTTGACGCGTCCAGGAAGCTGAGCAATTTCAGGAAGCTTGATTTCAAGAACGTCCAAATTGATGATTTCAAAATCTCGAATTAGATTGCACGAGCGACCGGCCGAGCGAGAAACCTCATTTAATTTCAAAAAAAAAAAATAAATTGAGGTTTGGATCTGTGTGAAATTCGGCATTGTGTGAGGGAATAAATGAATAATGAAGCCCATCATCATGAGTCATGACGACATGTAAGAGGGAACGGATAATAATGTCATGAATTGATAGTGCGGCAATAAATGTAATCCCGTCTCTATCTATCTGGATGATTTCATCTCTTTCTATGTTTACTTGAATCGTTCCAAAATAAATTACATGAAAGCCAATTCAAAATGAGGTGTAATCTAATTTTTTATGAATTATTTTTATAAAAATAAAAATAAAAATATAACGTATAATAAAAATTATATTTTCATATAAATAAAAATTAAATAATTAAAAACTAAGACAAAATTTTTACTACCTCCGTCCCAGAGTATTTGTCCACTTTCATTTTTACACACCATCCAATACACTTCTTTAATCCATTTTATCTTGTAATTTGTATATTAAAAAATTATAGAAATTATATATTAATAATCTATACGTTAAGACAAATCAAACAAGATCACACATGACTATATTTAGGCTTACACATTGAGAGAATTTGATGAGTCAAAGTACTTAGATGGACAGTTCCAAAAGTCAAAAGTGGACAAAAACTGAGGGACGGAGGGAGTATATAATAATCAATAAAAAAATGCAAATGAACTGAAGTCTCGTGAACTTGGAATAACAAAGTCTGTAAATAATTTTCGGAGGGAGGAAGTATTCATTTATGATTTGTAACGGAATAAATATAAGCAACGAAATTAAGGGTCTATTTGGTGAGTTTTGGAGATATGATAAGATATTGAAATCTCAGAGAAATGATATGAGTTTAAAAATTTGAAAAAAAAAGTGTTTAGAACGAACAGATATAAAATCAAAGGACAACATCGTTTGGTAAGCAAATAAGAAATTTAATGCAAGTATTATATTTACAAAAAATAAAATCATAACACCTACGATATTTGCTCATATACTTGCTCCATCCGAAAATAAGTGACTTTCACTTCAAATTAAATAAGAAAAATGTTTAAAAAGATATTAAAAATGTTGAGTAATAAAAATGGAATGATTAAGAATTATTTAAAAGAAAAAATATTTTGAATAGCATTCTTTTTTAGAAAAATTTAGAAAAAATATAAAAAATATAAATTAAATTATCACCATAAAAAGGCTAATGCAAGTTGCAACATAACACAAATAAGACCAAGTTAATGCGGACAATTGACGATGACGTGAATTCCGAAGCCGAGATATGGAGACGCGGCAATCTAGCAAAACAAACTAACAAGGATTATGCAATGTGTACCCCAAGGTTTGTACTTCAATTTGTACCCCGCAGTTTTGCACCAACACTTTGTGTTGGTGTAAAACTAATTTTTGTTAAACACACCAACATTTGTGTCCGTGCGAATTTTTATTAACGCACCAACACTTGTGTCGGTGTAAACCATCAAAATGTTTGTGCAAACCTGTGGTGTACAAATGGGGTATATTTTTAAGTGTAAGTGTAGCATGGTCCAACTAACAGTGGTCAAGTGGATATAGAGTTGTGGTTCATTGTTGACTTGATGTATATTCCATTTCTCATTATATCAATTCTCATCTCTTTTTATATTCACTAAATATCTTACAAGTAGTTTCTAAATTTTGTATCTCACATATCCAAACTCATACTCCCTCCGTCCCAATTTGATTACAAATTGCAGGTTACGGAGTAAAATTTCTTACTTTTTGAAATCATTTTATTTATAAATTGGTATATCAATAAAATATAAAAATCACATATTAAAAAACTACGTCAAATGTTTTATAAAACAAGAGGTGACAAAAATATTTTATTTTATCAAATACTTAATGAAATCGCGTAAATAAATAAAAGTTATCGAGAGGAGAGAGAAAAAATTATAATCTATTTAGGGACGGAGGGAGTATTTGTTTTCTTTAACTAAATATGCCCTAAGGCTTCCTTGAATCCTAGTTGTGTTTTATGGCAAATTGATCATAAACTACCTAAATTTAATTTGTCATTTCATTATTTAAATTTTTATTTTTAAATTATATAAAAAAAATTATCCACTTGGTGAGGCACAAATGATAAGTTTGTGACTATTAAATATATAAAATATACTCCCTCCGTCCAGAAATATTCTTCCTATTTGACTTTTTGTGGTCAAAGTTTGTAAACTTTGACTATGACATGTGGAAAAAATACATTGTATTAGGATATAACTTTAATGTGAATATATTCATTTTAAAATATAGTTTTCAAATATAAATTTTTTATAAAATATATCCATGTATAAATAAAGATATTAATGGTCAAAGTGTAATCTTGGAGACCGTAAAAATTCAAATGGGAAGAACATTTTCGGACGGAGGGAGTATTTAATATTATTGTATTATGATTTGTTTCCATACTTGAATAGGTTTCCTAGAATATCTCTCCTACCATAACTAGGATTGAGACTTTTGTATATATACATGTACTCCTCACATAATTAATCAATGAAAATACAATTCTTCATGGTATCAGAGCCAAACTAAAAACCCTAAAATATTCTCCCCTAGTTTCGGCCTCCCCTCCTACGCCGAACCACCAGCGCCGCCGTCCCCCTCCTCCTTCTCTTTCTCGGCCAGCAGCTTCTCCCCTCCCCTACAATGGCCGACAGTGAGGTCACCTCTCAATCCTCCACCCAAAAACCTCCACATCTGGATTTCTCCGTCTCCAACGTTAAACTCCATGTTCCAATTCAACTCAGCCTTTCTCAACCAAACTACAAAAAGTGGAGCCGTTTCTTCCTTCTTCTTGCACGGCGGTTCAACCTTCAGGGTTATCTCAACGGCTCTATTGCTCCCATCTCCGACGACGACGATGAATGGTTCCAACTTGACGCCATTCTCTAGGGCTGGATTCTCTCCACCATCACTGATGAGGCTTCTGATCTAGTTCTTTCCTATGTTTCTACTGCTTCTGCTCTCTGAATGGTGATTCATGACTTGTTTCACGACAATAAACATGCTCGCGCCATGCAACTCGAGCATCAATTTCACACCACCGTCAAAGGATCTACCCCCATGGCCACGTATTGTCAAGAGCTCGGGAATATTGCGGATTGGTTGGACGACGTTGATGCCCCAGTGTCTGAGCACCAACTGATCCTCCAGATGCTACGCGGCCTCCCCGACAATCTTCAAGCTCAAACCTCGTTTCTCCAATTTCAGGATCCCATGCCGAGTTTTCTTCAGGTGCGGTCGGCCCTCCTCCTCCTCGATCGGCAGCGGACTCCTCTTGGCAGAACCAGCAGCACGGCGCTGCTGGCGGGTCGGGACGCCGGTAGTTTCACCGGCGGTTAGCACGGCGGGGGCGGCAGCCGCGGCACTCCTCACGGCGGCAATGGGGAACGTTTCTTTGGCAGCAACTTTGGCGATGGCTCCTCCTCCGGACAGTGTGGTGGCTTTGGACGCGGACAAGGGCGTGGCAATGGCAACCGGGGTCGTGGTCGAGGATGCTCAAATGGAGGATCGAGACAACGACCACCAACGGACGTCCAAAGTTCCTGGAACTCACCTTACCCAAACCCTAGCCCCGAGGTGCTAGGCGCCTAGACCACTCCCGCTCCCTACCCTTACCATGCCCATGCCTATTACACATCCACCCCACCCCCAAACCCGTCCCCTTACCCATCCC